AAACTCGAAATTAGGTCGAAATCTTTCATTTGTCATGAGGAGATCATCTCAAAACAGATTCCAAAAAATTCTACTTCCGATAGGGATTGCGGGGGTAGGTATTAAAATCTAAAATTTTAATTTCCAAACTGTAACTGCTGCAGATTCTAAATTTGGTAGAAACCTTCGTGTACGATGTCAGGTTCAGCTGAAAATAGATTTTCTCGAATTCTTACCCCAAAAGGGATCGTTGAGGCTTTAACAATGAAAATTTCTCATTTCCAATCGATAGTTTTTATAGACTCGAAGTTTTGTTGGAATCTTTTATTTATAATGAATAAATCATCTCGAATAGGATCTTACGAAGTTCCTTCCTCACATAGGAGTGCAGGAGTGATGATTGTGAAAAAATTCATATTCTTCAAATACAGTTCCTACAAATATAAAATTTGATAGAATCTCAAGAGAAACCGACAAATACCGGGATGGCCTCCAAGGTCAACGGATTTAAATATTTTTCTTACTGAATAGTGATATTTTCTTACAACAATCGTCTCTTTGGCAACGGCAAAAAGTCATTGTAACGTTTCAAAAATTTAACATTAGATATAGCTATTCAGTCAACGGACTAAGAATTTGACATACATTTTATTTTTGCTGATCACATAACCGATGAATTGTTCTTATTATGGGATCGCGAAAATGTAACAGATTAAAAGCATTGCATTTTATAAACACATGAAATAGAAAAGAAATTTGAGATATAGAAAATATGAAAAAAAATAAATAGAAATGAAACTTAAAATTTAATTTATTTCCTTTTCAATTCGCCCAGCGAAGCGGGGGGGAAACCGCTATATACATATAAATATTTATATATATATTCAATTATTTGTTATCATTATTATTATAACCATTGTAATTACAAATTAAATATTATATTATAATATATCAATAATTAATTTAAATTATTTATCTGATGTTTGTTAAATTTCATTTTAAGATTCTAAGCCTTTTGTATAGGTAATCGTGCAACTACACTACTCGTGCTCTCTGGATGACGGGACAATATAGTTTCGTTTTCTATAACACGGAGTAGAAGGAGGCTGGGGTAGATAGAGTTCTTTTTAGGGTCACAGTACACGGTTGGTGCCGGCAGAAGCTAAACAGTTCTCCGATAGGTCAAGCCAAAGGCATAGAACTGAAATATGAAACGTTCCTCACCCCGAAGGAAGGGAAACGGTTATTTCAGGTCTTGCCAAAGGCTTGACGTGAGCAAGTCGTTGTCAGCGTGAATCGGCGTATGTACTGACAACTTACAGACCTAAAAAGTACGTGCTACCCAGCACTACGGAAACCATAGACAAAAGGGGAAGGGGGGGGGGTTTCTCTTTCTTGAGTCTCGAATGAGGCCTAAAATCAGCAACTTCGGCTAAATATTCATGAAGGATACGGTAGGTAATATCTCTCCGATAGATTTAATCTTTGGCAAGACCTGAAATAACCGTTTCCGTCCTGTCGGGGTAGGAAACATTTTATATTTTGAGTGAAAATTGATCTAGAAGACAGCACATCGTGATATCTTCGCAGGATTTACGTGAATTGTGTTTATAGTAAATGTGAAAAGTGTTGTTTTAAATAATTCTTTTAAAAAGTATTTTACCTAAATAATCTTTTAAATCTTTTAATTGTTTTAATTCTTGAATGGCTTTTAATTCTTCAATATTACTTCGTGACCCTGGTTGCATGTAGGCAGTTGAGTAATTAGCAATAATCAAAATGAATTAAATCACGTATAGTAAAAAGAATATACCTGAACGAGATCCATAATAATCTTTCTCTCCAGAATTGTAGCTTCGACCGATCCCTGGTTCACCTTTTTGACCAACAAGTGATAGCCCAGGAGGACCAGGAGGTCCTGGTGGACCTGGTAAACCTCGTTGACCATCTTTACCTGGTATCCCAGGTGAACCATCTGATCCCTTGTCACCTTTTAACTGTAGTAATAATCATAATTATTTATAAAGTTAATTTCATAATTTCCCGGTAGCAAGTTCTTATATCTATATTAGGGTGGCCCAAAAAAACCGACTATTTTTAACTTCCCGCTAAGAAAATCGAAGATTTTCAAAAATCGGGAAGTTATTGTTTTCACCCCGTTTTGCAAAAATCGAGTTTTCATCAGATCTCGACGTTTGAAGGTCACAGGAAGCTTCCCTGACTATCCCCGCGAGGTTGTCACTATGTCTGTGTGTGTGTGTGTGTGTATGTGTGTGGTGTGTGTGTGTGGTGTGTGCGTGTGGTGTGTGTGTGTGTGTGTGGTGTGTGTGTGTGTGTGTATGTGTGTGTGTGTGTGTGTGTGTGTGTGTGTTGTTTTT